TACCCAAGATTAAATTTTAAAATGGAAAAGAATGGATAAAAATAAGCAGAATGAGAAAATATTGCTATGAACTAAACACTTTTTCTAAAAATGAATTCTTTTCAGACTGGCCAGTATTCATAAACTGCTAGCCTAGGTCTCCAAATCCATACAAACCAAATCCAATACAGTCCAAATAAAATGCAAATGGACTGCATTGGACCTAATCCAATCCAAATTGAATCAAATACCAAAATAACATGAGAAGTCCAGAAAATATATAAAAAAACAACACTTGTTGTGATTCAATCCAGTCCAATTAAAATGCAAACGGATCGAATTGGGTCCAATCCAATCCAAAGTGAATGAATAAAAAGTGCTTTCATAAAAGTACTTTGATAAAAGTACTCTCGTATAAGTGCTTTTGTAAAAGTACTTTTTTACAAGTGCTTTTACAAAAGTACTTTCATAAAAGTAATTCCGGAAAGTGCTTTTTTAAAAATACTTACATAAAAGTTCTTTTATTAAAGTACTTTTGTAAAAGTGCTTTCATAAAGATACTTTTATTAAAGTTCTTTTATAAAAGTGATTTTGTGTAAAAGTACTTTTATAAAAGTGTTTTTGCAAAAGTATTTTCATAAAAGTGCTTTTATGTCGGCTTCAATTTTGATCAGTTTCAAATTGGACAAGGGTTTGGCCTCATGATCGGATTATTGGGAATTTGGTTTAGATTCGATTCAGATCGATAAGAATACAAACCAATTTATTTTGGATTGGCTCAATTCAATAATTATATAGACCGCCCAAATCCGATTTGATAAGGTTTTGGGTTAGATTGGATTAATCCAATCCAAAACCGGTCCATTGGCACCCCTACCGGTAGCCAATGTTTGTCGAGGTGAGTTTCCATGGTAGTTTGCTAGTAAATATCTATGGCAATAGTTTTGTAGGAAGAGTTTCCTCAAAGAATGAAAATGAACAAGATGGCACATGATTATTTTTCATGTTGCAGGCTACCTCGTTTTTTGTGCTATGAGCTGATTTTTGTTCTAAAAAGAATGTGGCCCATGCGCGAGAATTTTGTAATCAAACACTCTAATGTTATTGCCTATAATGAGCAAGAATTAAAAAAATAAGACCTAGAGCAGTGAACCAAACATGGCCTAATAAACACCCCTTAGTTTCACTATGTAGGAAATTACAATCAAATAGTTTCATGTGATCATGTCTCAAATCTCAATGGGATAGAGATCTTACAATGGTTAAATGTAGCCTAGGTTTCACTCCGTATTTCCACATTACTTGCTTTGAATGTCCTAGTTTTGGCTCAAGATTTCTTCATTTTTTTTTTTTGCTTCATGGGTCTACACAACATGAGGTAGCCCATCCCCTTTCCCTTAACCCCCCAACCCCTGGTGGCAGCGGGATTTGATCCTTGTTTTGGCTCAAGATTTCTTCATTGTGTGGCCAAAAAAGTCATTTTGTTTTGGAAACCCTTTAATTAGAAATATATTTTTATAAAAGAATTAATTAAAAAACTACTATAATTACCATGGCAAGAAAGAGCCTAATTTCATCTTATGAATGAAATATTATGATTTCGACATGGGATAGGAATAATCCACAAGATTTCAGCATAGAAGATGTGAAATTGAACTGTTTAATTGGTATTATGGAAGGAGGTCCTATTTCCATTTAAAGCAGAGACAACAATAAGAAAGTGAGATTCGATAATCACTTTTGTTCCAGCTATGCATCAAGCAAAACAGCTTTGAATATTGTCATAAGCTCCTTTTCAAGAATTCCATTTCTAGAAGCAAAAAATACCACTTGAAGACAATAAGAAAACACCTTGATAAGCTATACAAATTAGATCAAAAGAGAGATTATTTGTGGTAATTGTCCCTACATCACATTTAATCTTGATCACTCTAAAAAAAGAGGGGATTGCCAGATACTTTCTCTTTTATGCTCTAAGATTATGCAAAGTGTTTAGTGAAATTGTTTGTCCAATACTTGTTCTTCCATTTTTCGGTGTGCAATTGGGTGCCATGCTCTCAAAGTCTTCACTTTATTTGCTTTCAAGAAATCTCCATGTAACAAATAAGAAAATACAACCTTCACTACTCTATAAAGCAATATTTGCCTTATCTTTTGTTTAGGTTATATCGCATCCCACCGGAATGACTTTATCTTTTCTTCATTATTTAATGAACAAAGGTACTAAAATATACTTTTGGACAATCTTATTTACAAAGATAAAAAGATAGTGCATCTAATGAGGGGCCAATATGGCATTCATTTGAAGGAATGCATAGGCCACATTTATGGATGGATTTGAACAAAGTTTAATCGAATATCTAGCTATTTAAACTCAACAAAAAAACATGAACTCAAATTTGACTTCACTAAAAGCTCATTTATTTGAAATAAGCTACATATAAAAAATTAAAAATTATACATATAAAATCTAAGCTCAATTAGGCTAGCTTCAATTACAAATTGACTTATATATTGAACTTGAGTTTAGCTCAAAACTCGATTTAAATCAAATTAAATTGAACTTTTCATGAGCCAAACTCAAAAAACTCATGAAAGACTTTTATATCCATCCTTCCCTAACAACACTAAAAATGAATATAAATTTTTTTCTTTAAGGCTAAGTTTGATAAGAGTACAAATAGAAATATGTAAAGTGCAAATATATACAAAATACAAGATTTTACACCGTACAAATTTGTATTTACACTCCTTCCAAATTCAGCATAAGTAAATAATAATAAATAAAACAAAAAAAATCTAAAATGTCTAAATGTCTAATTCTTGATGAACCTCTCTTTATACGATCCCCACTGTATTATGGTTCCAAGTGAAAGAGTTTCTATTTTTCCTAGGTAAAAGGTTTCCATCAAATCAAGTGATTTGTGAACAAAAAGATTACCTTAGCTACCATGGGGCCTATTCCATCCCATCTCATCGAAACATGTCTTAGAGAGTAAAACCCCTAAAAGTTCATCACTATCTCACAACTCTACATGTTGTAGTCATGAAGACTGCTAGAATGGTGAAGCATGTTTCACCTCACGAGTTCGTGAAGGCGTATGCTGCTTATCTTAAACGATTGAGGAAGATAGAGCTTCCTTTCTCATTGGATTAATATTGTGAAACACCATCCGGCTTATGTAATGCCGAATGGTTTGTAATTTTGTAAAACACCATTCAGTTTCCACTATAACAGATGGTCTATACACTTTTGAGAATCATACAGACCCTTGTGGTTTATTGGGTTCTAGGTGCATTCGATAATGTAACTACAACCAAATCATTGGGGGGATAGATGTTTGTAACTATAAATGACGTTCCGAAATTGCAAACAATTATCCAGTCTTTTCAATGTCGGATGGGTTTTAAGCTTAGTACACTATTCGGTCTTCTCCATATCAGATGGCTTGTATACCTATAAGAATCATATGCAACCATGTGGTTTCTTTGGTTTTAAAGGAATTTGAATGTGTTAGATAACCTATGTAATTAATTATTGTAATTATAATTGATGATTTAAAATTGTAAGCAACCATTTGACCTATGTAATGCCATATGGTTTCTAAGTCTATAAAACACATCCAATCTCCACCATATCGGATGGTTTGTGTAGTTGTAAGAATCGTATAAAACCTTGTGGTTTGTTGGGTTTTACAATAATTTGATAGTGTAAATAATATATTTGTCACCTGAATGATAGATATTTGTGATCACAATTGGTGATCCAAAACTAGAAGGAACTATTTATTTGTTGTAAGATGATACCTAAATTTGTTGAACACCATCCAGTCTATTATATATCAAATAGTCTAGACACTTACAAGATTCATATACAATTTGTTCCTCTCATAATTTACTTCCATGGTGGAAGTTTCATATTCTTTAGTATTACAATTTTGTCATTTCATCACTCATGTCGGGTGATTCTTTCCTAGGGGTGCAAATGGATCGGATCATATGATTTGATCCGATACTATTTAGTGGAGTTCGGATCACCCCCTTGTTCAAATCGGAACGGATAATAGGATCCGATCAGAAATCAGATTGGATTCGGATCACCCCTATTTGATCTGATAAGATTCGATCCGATATATATTATATATTTATAAATATAAATATATAATAAATATATATGTTATTTATTTAACTATAAATATATTTTATAAATTTGGTATATTATTTATTTTTTTAATAAAAAACATGTATATATATAATGAAAATAATTAAAAATACTTATATTTTTGTTTTTACATTATTTCAATTAATATATTTAAATTTTCTTTTAATAATTTATTAATTTGTAAAGAAAACAAGTCGAATTGAATCAGATTCAAAGATCCAATTTACCAATAAGATTCGAATTCAAATTAAATTCTATTAGATCCCATATGAACAGTATCAGATCGGATTCAAATACACCCTGATTTGAACCCGACCTGATCCGTTGCATCCCTATTCATTCCTTTTACTATCCCATTGGGTGATGGGTCCTGGGTCCTGGGTCCTGGATCTTAGGCCAGCGCGTGCCTCTAGAAACGCAACGCGTTCAACGTGAACCCCACCAGACCGCGTGTGGCGCGAGCAACGTCACCTACTCCAATAAAGCCCCCTCCGTTTTCCGCTCCAGACCGTGCGGAAGGAACGGCGTTCTGCCCTTTTTAACGTTTAAAGTATTGTGACAGCCGATATCCCGTTAAAGAATTCCTTTTCTTCGTACGGCCACGAAATATTAAAAGTTTCAAAATTCAAAATCAGTCCTTGTCCTTCACGGCAATTTTAACAAAATTCAAGGGCTTTTTTCAGAGCCACTGATTCCCTTATATGGTACTTGACCCAGTTTATCCATAACTCAGAACCCTATCCACTCCACTTTTTGTAGTTTCATTTCGAAAAACGGTTTAGAAAAATTAAAATTCGAAACGACAAAGTGAAAATAAATAAAAAAATTGGGACGCCATTCTTTCAGGCTACTGTAGATGCATCCATGAACCAACCTGTCTAATCTCCTCTCTATCTAGCTTTCTCCTCTCTCCTCTGAGAACTGACATTCTTTTAGACATTCTGTTTGAGCTTCTGTGAGCTACAGTGGTGGAAGACGAATTTAGCCTTGGACCTTTGTGGAAATATCTAATCTCTCCTTTCTAGATTCTCTCAACCGTCAAAGATCCTTTGTGGGTGTCGCTGACCGACTTCTGATCTTCATTTCTCTGTTTCCATCTCTTTCTTTTAAATCCTTTTTTCGGTGAAAATAATATTCAGAATCGATTTCTTCAGCTTTTGTTAAATTTTGCTGTTGTGATTCTGCTTTTGGTGATGAGGGGGTTGTTTTAGTTTGATCTGAAGAAACAGAGGGAGAAAGTGATAAGAGATATGGAGCTTATTGAAGGGGTTGGGGAGAGCTCTTCGCCTCAGCGTAGTAGTTTCGGGGGTTTCAGTGGGTATGATGTAAGGACGGATGTGTATAACCGCTTGATGGAGTGCGGGAACGAGGAAGCGACGTGTAATCCCGAGTTTCGTGAGCTGTTGGATGCTCATTTTAATCGCTTGCCTTCTAGGTATCAGTCATTTACATCACATCTTTAGTGTTTTGATTCAGTTTAGTTTGTTTTGTTTAGTGATTTGAGCTCTGGGTTGACTTTGAATTTTGCACTTAAGGTGCAGTTCTTCATTCTGTACTGTACTGGTTTTGAGTTGGTGGAGATTGGAATTTGTTGCTCCTTGTTACTTTTTGGGACTGTTTTTGTTTAGAGTTTCAGAATCCGGATGATATGGAAAAGCTAGGCAATGTGTCGACTGATGTATGAAGTAGTGACACTGGTTTGAACGGGAAAAAAAGTGAACTTACACTTTCTAGTGTGTTTTCTTGATTTAAATTGGTCTTGGGGTTGTTGTTTCTTTTTTGGGTCATTCGATATAGATGCTTCTATTATGTTTTCCATTATCCTTCTTGTTGGTTCTTTGAATTACTGTTGGAAGGACCCTCGAGTTTTTGATGGGGAGACTTATTGTCATGTATGTTCTTTGTGTTTTAGATATGCACTCGATGTGAATATGGATAGAGTGGAAGATGTTTTGTTACATCAAAAACTTCTTGCTATGGCAAAGGACCCAGAAAAGCGACCTGTCTTCCATATCCGATCCTTGGAGGTACTACTCATTAGTTTGATTTTCTGATGGCCAAATTTTTGTCTAATTTGAATTTGAATATAACAGGGAGACCTATGTGCTTTGGTTCGATTTAAAGTTGAGAGTTGAGTGCAACATTATCATATCCTATCAATGAATTTGCATTCAACCTCAGAATATTATAAGAGAAGAATGAAATATATAGTTAAAATCACTTGTATCCAGATAAATGTAAGATTTTTGTGTATTCCTCCTTGGATAAGGATTACCACTGTAGACCTTATCTCTCAAAGAATTTGGCAAGATGTTCTTCAATGTCATTTAGTCTCTCATTCTTGATGTATTAAGAACATTTTCCAGGTCCAGCATTCAGGTGATATACGTACATCATGGTTTTCATTCCAGAAAAATGGAAATAGGAGACATCCAATGTTATGTAAGAGAAGGTGCCATAACCAGATAGCATGGCATTATTTTGCAAATTTGCTTTTGAAACTCATTTCTAAGTTTCTGGATTGTAAATTTGTATTTATTCCTAATTTTAATGGAATCTTTTGGTTATTGATAAAAAACATTGCTAAGTTGAATCTGTGAAATATTGTCTCCAATGTTGGAAAATAAGGGAAACAGAAACAGAAAAATTCAATCAAATGGTGAAAGAACTTACTAAATAAACTTTTATGGTATTATTATAGTACCAATTAGTCAGGAAGAATTTCATCTATCATGAGCATAGCATTGCACCATTCACAATATACATCTGATAGAAAATCTTCAATTTTAATCTATTTTTTTAATAAATCTTCAATATTAATCTTCAAATGCCACCTAAGAAAGAAATATTCAGTATATGTACATATACAGTTTGTAATCTCAGATTGCCTAAACCCATATAACCATTTTTATGCTTGAGTGTATCTAAATTCTAAATCAAACTAGAGACATAATGAAAAAGTCATAGGAGGGTTATTTGGCTATCTTTTGGTTGTATTAAATTCATCTTCTCTCATTATTAATAAAACTTCTTTGATCAGTTACTGGTAAAAATATTTGTTGGTTAGAGAACAAGGAATTGCCTAGGTAGTAGGCCTACTGATCCAAAAAGGGTAGGCCTAGACTGACAGCTGGGTCTTGGCTAACCAAGCCACAGCCTTCAAGAACTAAAGCTGAAATGCATGGAAAGATGAGGGTCATGTAATAATTTGAACTAGAGGTTGCACTTTTGTCCAAAGGCATTGGAGAAGGAATTAGCTGCCTTTGGCATTAATGGGAATGAGATTCTAAATTAGCTTCTATATTTTGAACCTTTCACATTAAATGTGTGAGTCTCCATTGACTATCTTTTAAAACTTTGGAGCCATGCTATCATTATAGAAGAGCAGTCCTTCATCACCATCATCTCAGGGCTAGGAAAATAGCCTAGGTCCCTGTTGAATCTCTAGTCATCTAATTTGATACCTTATTGAAAATCAATAACTTACACTTGTGAGAATGTAATATGCACTTATGCACATCTGTGGAAGTTCCATATCTAGGTCTCTGCTGAATGTCTGACCATCTAATTTGATACCCTATTGAAAATCAATAACTTATGCTTGTGAGAAAGTAATATGCACTTATGCACATCTGTGGAAGTTCCATATATAGGTCTCTGATGAATGTCTGATCATCTAATCTGATACCTTATTGAAAATTAATAACTTATGCTTGTAAGAAAGTAATATGCATGTTATCCAGAAGAGAAGGAGAAAGGAAGAGAGAAGAGAGAGCAGGGAAGAGAGATTGAGAGTCAAAAAAGATGCTGGCGGCGCCAACTTTTTTGTATTTATACTAGGGCGACACAACATAAAGTAAAAGATGTGGAAAATACAAATAGTACCCCTGTGATACTAAACTTAAAGAATAACAAACTTTTAACACTCCCCCTTCAGTTGGTCTTCAGAACTGATAGATGGAGTACACACTTTCCCTGTGACAACCTTTTCTCTGATAAAATGTTTGTTGACTTCGATTTGTTTAGTTCTATCATGCAGCACAGGATTAGCTAAGAACACCCACCGCATAAGCAATGTCTGGTCGGGTTATAGAAAGATATAACAATCTTCCTACAAGTCTCTGAAATTGTTTCACATCCTTGATGAATTCACATTGATAGTCACTTAATTTGTGATTAGGATCAATAGGAGAATCAACAGGCTTCACTCCCAATTTTCTTGTATCTTGGAGCAGATCTAGGATATACTTTCTCTAGGAAATGAAGATACCCTTTTTTGAGCGGGCAACTTCAATCCCAAGGAAGTACCTTAAATGACCTAAATCTTTCACTTCAAACTGGGTAGCAAGAAATTTCTTCAACTTTTGAATTTCATTTTTCCAATCACTAGTGGTAATTATATCATCAACATATACTATCAGGGCTGCAATTTTTCCTTCCCCTCTTTTCACAAATAATGTGTGATCAGATTGACACTGTTTGTATCCTCTTTGATGAACAACTACATGAAACCTGTTGAACCAGGCTTTCGGTGATTGTTTCAGGCCATATAATGATTTTTTTTAACCTGCACACTTTCTGTTCGTTACCTTGAGCTCGGAAATCAGGGGGTTGTGCCATGTACACTTCCTTTTCAAGGTCACCATTTAGAAAGGCATTCTTGATATCTAGTTGAAGAAGGTCCCAATCAAGATTAGTAGCTAAAGAGAAAAGGATTCTAATGGAGTTCATCTTAGCAACAGGTGCAAAAGTTTCTGCATAATCCACTCCATACACTTGTGTAAACCCTTTTGCCACTAAACGAGCTTTATACTGCTCCACTGTGCCATTAACCTTATGTTTTACTGTGAAAACCCATTTACATCCAACTAGTTCCTTTCCCTCAGGAAGATCTACCAATTTCCATGTGCCATTTTTATACAAAGCATTAATCTATTCCTTCATAGCATCTGTTCATTCAGGCACCAAAAGAGCTTCTGCCACATTCTTAGGAATGGGAACACTGTCAATGGAAGAAAGGAAGGCCCGAAAGGAAGAGGTGAAATGTTCTCATAGGAAACAAAATGGGAAATGGGATGTTTAGTGGTGCAAGACTTAAACACCCTTCCGGTGAGCAATAGGAAGGTCAAGGTCATCAACAATAGAGGTATCAATGGCAATAGGGTCAGGAACATCAATGGGAACCAAGGTACCTGGTTGGGTAGGATCCACCCCCGGAGAGTTTGATGGCATTGGTGGTACAACTTCTAGGTACTCCACAACTCTCGAACATGGCTAGCTTTTGTGATGAAAGAAAACACAAAAGGGAGGAGGATTAGGAAGAGGAGGGAGTTGAACCAGTTTTTCCTCATTCCTATACTCCTCCTAAGGAGAAACAGGGAAGAAAGGCTCACTCTAAAAAAAAGAGACATCAATACCTCCGAGAGACGGGATCAAAGCACCAGTATCCCTTTTGAGTGATGGGGTACCTCAAGAATATGCAAGGAATAATACGAGGATCCAATTTTCCACGGGTGGGTGACAGGTTTTGAATAAAACAACAACCAAACACACGAGGAGGAATAAAAAGAAGAGGAGCCTTAGGAAAAAGAAGCTGATGTTGGGCTTTGCACTCTAATCAGCGAAAGGGCATACAATTAATGAGATAAGTAGCACAAAGGACAACCTCAAGCCAAAAATGTTTTGGGACATTCATATGAATTAGTAACCCCTGGGCCACTTCAAGAAGGTGTTAGTTCTTTCTCTCAGCAACACCATTTTGTTGTGGTGTTCGAGCACATGAGCTATGGTGAAATGATCCACGTAAAGTGAAGAACTCCATGAGATCATTATGAAAATATTCTTTGGCATTATCGGATTGAAAAACTTGGATTTCAGTTTGAAATTGGGTGAAGATCATTCGGTGGAAATCTTGGATAATTTTTAGTACTTCATTCCTGGTTCGCATGGGATACACCCATGTGTATCTGGAGTAATCATCAATAAAGGTAATAAAATACTTGTAGCCACTCTCAGATGGTAAAGTAACAGGGCCCCAAACATCAGAATGAACAATATGGAAAGGAAATTCAGATTTATTATTCTTTGAAGGAAAATGAGTTCTATAATGCTTACTCAATTGATAAGTTTGACATGTAAACTCTGACACTGACACTGACTTAAACAACTCTGGAAACACCATTTTTAAAGACTCAAAAGATAAATGACCAAGACGACTGTGCCATAAATAGACTTGACTCTTACTAGACTGACTTTATACTTTGTGACTATAAGACTAGCCTTATTCTCCAGTATGTAGAGCCCATCCACCATATGTCTTCTACCAATCGTCTTCCCTGAGGCCAAATCCTAAATCACACAATAAGAAGGGAAAAAGGTCACTGAGTAGTTTAAAGAATTAGTGATACTACTGATAGAGAATTTTGGAACATGTAAAACATTAGATAGGGTGAGGCCAAAGGGAAGAGAAACGGTTCCTTGACCAGCTATGGTAGAGTATGAACCATCAGCTAGTCTCACCTTGTCTCTTCCAGAGAGGAGGTGATAGGTATGAAAATAAGTGGACTTACCAGTCATATGTTTTGACGCTCCATAGTCAATTATCCAAGGAGAGTCAGGGGAATGAGACGATACATGGAAAGCTGTGGTAGAATTACCTGATGTAGACGCAAATGAAGTTGAGGGAGGAGGAGGATCCATCTGACGAATTGCTCTATCATAGAGTTTTAAATGGTCACGGTAGGAATTAATAATATTCTCCCTTGGGTCAGAACCAGAGGTATGTGTCTGAGTCACAGTAGTAGTTGGGGGCTGATTCTCCTGAGTAGCCATGTCTGCTATAGTGGGCTTTCTTGGACCTTGCTATCCTGACTTCTTATTCAAATCCGGACCTTGCTTCTTAGTTAATTCATAAGCCCATTTTGGCTTTCCATGAAGATCCTAGCATGTATCACGGGTGTGTTGGGGTTTCTGGCAATGGGTGCACCATAGTTTGTCTTTGTCATCCACCCTTTTTTGAAAGTCCCCCTTTCTTGAAGAGATTTCCCCCACCTGTAGTGACATTCCCTTT